TAAAGGGTCCATGCGCATGACTACCGTAGATTTTTAAAGATCCTGAAATAGTCCTTTTAACCGATGTCACACAATATCAACAATTTTTTGTGTCTTGCATATAAACAACAACAACAAAAAAAACACCTCCATAGATCAAGTTGTCGTGCCAAGTTAGTAGATAAATCTCACAAACATCGATTGCAAAGACACGGAAGTGTGGGACCCTAAATAACTAAGCGAAGTTTCACAAATATCGGTTGCAAAGAAAATGAAAGTCAGAGAATGGGACCCTAAACTTGCAAATTTTTAGAAAGAAATCTATGCCAGGGATCGACTCTTGCCTCCTGGCATACATTACTTTGTAAAAGTTGGCAAGTTCTCATAGTTCCGAAGGTCCCATATTTTCGTGACTTTGCAACGTATTCTAATGAATCTTTGCATATTTACTAAATTCACCATGAAAAACCAAGCGACAAGGCTCATGCTTTGTTTGAATAAAAAAACAACCAGAAAAGCGTGACATCTGTAAAAAGGTCCATTACACATGATTGATCTTGATGAGTGCTCTTTCGACATTCCAGGGACCCTGTTTGGCAGAATAATTTTTTTTTGTTCACGAGTTTGAGATGTTTAGCGTAATCCATCTCACTCGCAAATGTAAAAAACAAAAACAAACAAACAAAAAACAAAAGCTCAACAAAACCTTCTTAGACTAGGGGTAAATTTTAAGGGTAATCACTAAACATATGTTTCATTTTTATTCTTTCTTCACAAATAAAAACATATATTTGTTCGTACAGTTTATGTCTTGTACAGCATGTTAGAGTAACATGACCTCCTGAAAGATAAAAAAATAAAAAAACGAACAAGCTGATTAGAAACAATTCAAGTGTTAGGTCAGTGAACCAACTTCATGCAGGGCTTTTGAGATGCCAGTCTGGTGAAGAACAGAAGCTTAGATCTCAGCTGGCCTATAATTTTTGCTCCAGGTTCGTAAGTCAAACCTTAGCACCATGGAGAATGAGGAGGGGTGGGACAAATCTTCCCTTTCACCTCACGGCTGAGGAGCCTTTTGGTTTTACCAAAGAACTGGCTGGC